ATGGATTATAGGAATGAAAGTGCAGCAGATGTCCGCTGACCTGTTATAACTGTAACTGTTTTAAATGTGCGTATCTTACAATATAAAATCTATATTGTTTCTTTGACAAGCTGAAAAAGGAGAGAAAGTGAAAGAAAATTGTTCCTTTGTTTGATTTCTTGCTTGCTTGCATCTGAGATTCAAGATAAGTTTGTATTTTTGTGTGGTAATTCTTTTAATGAGAAATTGGGGCTAGAATATCCTTATTTAAAAAAAAAAAAAAGTCTTGCCCACACCATTAAACTGTTCTTGGTGACCAGTGAGCTGCTGAAGTTGATTCAGTTTCTTGCAACTTGCAGAAAGTTGAGCACCGAGAAGAGGAAGTGTCCTGATTCACGATTTTTCAAGTGTTCCCAGGCCTCCATTTTAGAGGAGACATATGAAGAGGCAGTTTCTTTTTGCCATCTTGAGAGGCAGGTCCTCCAAAATCTAACAGATTTGTTGGTCTTTGTGCTAGGGAATGTATAATCCCCGAAATAAAATAAATGAGTAAATAAAACTGTAGTGTAGAAACAGAGCATAAACTCTTGCAAGTCATCACTGAGGACGTTAAATACTGACTCAACAAAAGATAGGAGAAGCTATGAAGAAGAGATCGGAAAGCATCATAGAAAATGAAGGGATGGATGTTACTCTTTGACCATGATATAAAGTACATGACTTAATAAGGGAAACTTGTATTAATTGTGTGTAAACATATTTATCTAACTGGCATTGTATTTGAGGATTTTTAAATAATTATACTGTTTAATTAAGCACAGAACTACGAAAGTTAAGGCCATGTAAGACCAAGTATTTTCAGAAACACTGAGTAAAGCAGTTTTCAGCTGTCAGCCTGTCATTCACTCTTTTGAGGGGGTTTTAAGTCATTTTCATATTGTTATGTATTCATTATGTCCATGCAGAATTTTTTAAAAGGTTTTCTGAAAGGAACATAAATAAACTTAGTCATTAGCTACAGAGCAAGTAAGCGTATATCCGTGGTAAAGTTAAGGGGGCCTGCATTCTGCTTGTAATGTAGGTTATTTCACTGGAATCTCCATCAGCATGCTCCCCTGAAATGCTTTCTGATTTTATTTCACCTGACAAAACACTCAAAATGGTGTTGAAAACTTACAAGGCATGAAAAACTCTTCTTGTGGGTTATGTAGTGATTTTCAGCTGTTTTATTTTTTGTCATTCTCTGATGTGAATAGATAGGTAAGTGGAGGAAAAAGAGAGTAAGCCTGTTACCAGTACACTTACTGCAGGGATTGTTATCCCAGGGTCTGTATTTTGGTTGTTGGCATTTTGGAAAGCTTAAAACAACTAGTCTATAGGGATTAAAGAGTGCACTACAGATGTCTACTTAAAAGTCATATGATTATTTTAATACAGAATTACTGAGCTCATCATATGACAGGTGATGTATCCCTGATCAGTGAGGATGAGAAGTATTATTGACTGGTCCCTTTCTGAGGAAGCCTGTGGATTTATTTCTTGCAGTTGGCTTTATTCAGTGTGCAACCTACCTAAGATTTTTGTTAAAAGAAGTTTGCCTGAGTATCAGTAGGTTGACTAGATGTGCTGACAACTATCGGGCTCTGTTTTTTACTCCCTCTAGGCAGACTGAGGTACTATGAGTCTGAAATAGCTCAGTGTTCACAAACACAGTAGTTTACAGAGCCAGCTCTGGGTTCTCCAACTGCTTGGAGCAAGGCAGTATCATGGGATCCTTACTTCTGGTCTCCCTGCCTGTTTAGGTACATGTGTAGTAAACTACTTTCTCTCTTCCCTAGCAGAGGAAAAGCTGTCACTTTTCCTATCTCAGAGTCCTTTGATACCTGTTAAGACTTTTTTTCCACTCCCAAGTAACAGCTTTGATTTTTTTTTTCTTTTTTTTTTCTCCTTTGATTCCTTTTGCCAGTGAAAAATTCTTGTGCCTCCCTCTACTGCTTTTTAGTTCACCACCTTTATTGAGCATTTATTCTTACCAGAGCTTCCAGACAATCTGCAAAGCACTGTATAAACTTAAGAATAACCATTTTTCTATACTCTGCTCCACCTTTTAGAAAGTCATGCATACCACCTATTTGTAGATGCCAAAAATACATAACAGTGCAATTTATATCATTTCAAGTATACCTTAGAAATAAAGGCATTGAAACTTAGTTTTACTAAACACATTGTCTTTCTTCTGGAAAGCCTTACCACTTAACTTGCTTGTATGTATTTTTTTTTCAGACCGCAGTTTTCTTTGTATTCTTGTTAGACTTACAAACACACTGTACAAAGACTTTTTCGAAGGTAACTGTGTATGTTAAGCATCAAATTGCTAGGGAAATAGAACTGTGGGTTTGTCCAGTGCTCAAAGTGAAATTTGCCTAACTTCTTATGCAAAATAAAATAAAATAAAATTGAGAAAATAGTGATGGACATAATCTGGACATAATCTTTCATTGGCCCAATGGATTCCAAGTATGCCCATCTTTGTAATGTGTAATGAAGGGCTTTGACTACTGTAGCTTTTCAAGAGGCAGATCATAGCAATTTGAGTGCTATTTCTTAGAGAATACTGTAGAACTGAAGGACCAGCATTATATCTTAATGCCCTAAAAATTATGAAATAAAGCCTCAAAATCAGCAGGCAGCTTGAAAATGTTCAGAAACGAATATTAGTATTAAGTTTCCCATTTTCACTATAGCTTTAAGGAGTGGTAGAAAAGATGGAATATAATTACAACATTGTGGAATGTGAATGAGTTGATAATGTTGGTGGAATGTTAGTGTTTTGCTGTGACATTTTAAACTTCAACCTTTTATGCTTGTAGTTTAAAAGATTGTAGGTCAGCTTTCCCCTCCCATCCCCTTTCTCATGTCTGCTGCTGTCTCTGGTTTATGGGAAAATGAACACAAATTTTGCTCAAAATTCTATGATTCATCTGTGGGCGAAATCAAATGTGGAAACCTTCTACTGAAAAGATAAATATTATGGGTATGAAGGGAAAAATGTATGAAAGTGCTTTCTTTTAAATTTGTTTTTAATGGTCATTGTCAGCATGATCAGATGATTAGAGAGTGATTTTAAGCAGTCATGTGGATGAATCTTTCCTGAGGGTTCTTAATGGACGCGAGTTAGTCTAGAACAAGACTTCTGAGAAATAGATGGTTTTGAGGGCAGTGAAGAAAGTATCGTTCGAACTTAAGATATTTCTAGTTTGTACAGTGATTCAGGATCATTTCACAATAGCTAAACTTTATGTATGCAACACCAAGAAAATTCATTACAAACACTTCGCACAAGATTCATGTTGAATCTGTAGCATGTAGAGAGATTCAGGAAATGTTTATGGGAACAAGACTGTTCATCAGATATTTAGCCTCCTTGTAGAATCTACTATAGAGAGGTTTGGTGAAAGAAACTTTACGCAGAGCTTTGAGATGCAAGTCTGTAACGTACTCTCCATTCTCAGAATAGCCAGAGAGGTGACGTGTATCTTAGATGTAAAATAGCTTGTTTAAAGCCGTATGTCCTTTGCAGGAGAAGGGGTTGGGTGATCTGCTCCTTCAATTTCTATTAATAGTTACAAAATAAGAAGTTGACATGCTAAATAACTACGCTAAGCAGGACTATGTTTTGCATTGGTAAAGCCATGTCAAGGGTGCTTTGTAAGTATAATATTCCATGACAAGACTTAATACCCTGTACCAGTCAAACTGAGATTCAGATCTGATCTTTAAAAGGAGTAGCTGTTACTAAGCTATTCCTTTAACAAAGGTCATTGTAATATGACCCTTGCTTTATTTTAAAGCAATCAAATTGATGTGCTATGAAATTAAGATAGTTTCAGGTGTTTTGTTCATTAAGTGTTCATTAAGTTCATTAAGAAACTAACACATTAGTTTGTATTTTATTTAAATACGAAAAAAATCATCTTTGCATAGAGAATGCATTGGCTCCAGACATTAAAGCAGTTACAAAGTAGACTAGTTCCTTAGGCCTAAGTTCTTAAATTAAAGATTGAAAATTATATATCTGATTCATTATGAATGTGGAATAACCAGAAATTTGCTTGCACGCAATATCAATTACTCCCTTTGGCAATTGCTTTTGACTTGGTGAGATTCATGTCTAACAGTAGTACAACAGTAGTTATAGTGTGTATATATAATACTTAATAGTATTATATACTGTATAGGTATACTTGCAGTAGTATAGTACTTAGCATATCTTTATCTGTTCAGGGGTTGAGCACAATAATAAAAACACATGACAATTGCATGTGACTAAACAAAATCTATAATTATGATTTTGTATAAGTATTTATATAGGCAAAAACATATGCCTTTATTCAAAGGTGAAGATGACTAATGATTGTCTGGTGTTTTAACTTTATCAAAGAAACCTGGTGATTTTTGTCCCATTGTTATTATGTGAGGGGAGAGTAGTAGACAAATGTAATGAGTTAAGTGTTAATCCATCCATCTGAAGAAAAGAGCAGTATGTCTTTTATTCATACTTCATGTTCAGTTGCTACTGTCTGTTCTGCTATGAAATTAACTTGTGCAAATAACTAACAGCTTGCTTAGTTCACAAGTACTTGGAGAATAAACCAGAGACACTTTTTGAGCTAGAATTTTTTAAAATAAGCCTATTGCCAAACTGCTGCAGTGTTAAGTGTGTTCTTTTAATTAGGTAGCTTATGGCATATACAGCTGGCAGTTTTCAGAAATTTGTGTTTTAATATATCCAGTGTTCAATAGGCTTGCTAAGAGATGAGTGGACTTCTGTGTTCTTTTTGTCATTCACACGTTTGGTTAATGTAGAACTGTAGGGAATATTTTGAGTGTCTGTCCAGTTTATTGTGTTTGCAAACTTGTATTTTCCAGTCAATGAACAGCATTTCAGTAATCACATAATTTCCACTTTGTTTCTTCTGCTTCTACCTCATTTTTATTATTCAAATTTATTATTTGTACAGCCTAATGGACAGCCTATCCTTGATGTATCTGAAGATGAAGTAATACAGACGGTTCGTAGAGAAAATACAAAGCAACCTTTGGATGCAGAAAAGAAGAATGAGAAGGTCAGTTATGGTTTTGAAATTACAATATATCAGGGTTTAGTGTTGGTTTGTTTCTGTATCTGAAAACTCTGCTTGTGATTTGAAATCCTCTTTCATACTCTGTGAAGAGAGTGCTAAAGGAACTCTCTAAGCAAAGTGCTAAAGTAATTGGTTTTGTTTTTCTTTAATGGAGGTTGTACATTGTCACGGAATGTTTGTATGAATCAAAAATGCTAAAGATAGAATCATCTGTTCACACTAAGTCTATATAAGCAAAGTTTGTTTCATCTTCACTGGCTTCTGTGCAGATGCAATATAATGATATTATTGTTAAAGGGCTTGTAAATGATCTAACAGTTGAGGGACCTCTATTCAAAGAATAAGACCATGTTCTTGCCTATGTCTTTTGTGAGATGTAGCCATTAGTGATTAGAGTTCTTAATTTCTGATGACAAACAGGGCTTTGAAGTCTGTTGTCAGCTTCTTGTTATGCAAATTAGACAGCTGAATATAAAGCTGGCTCTGTTGCTTTATCTAAAATGTATCCATATTAATGACAATGTTGTATTCTTGCACTATAGGGACTGATTTCTTCCATTAGCATAAATGCTGTAACTTGTAGCTGACATAGATAAATTTATGACTGCCTTGGGACCAAAACTGATTTTTCTCTCGGTTCCTTTGCTAATGTTAAGCATCAAATTTTGGTATTGGCCTGGATTTCCGAAAATGTGTATGTCCTGGTCTGTGTGGTGAAGCCAGGGCTGCCAGTTATGCTCTGGCAAAGATTGCTGCATTGTCTTTTATCCTGTTAGTTGTGATAAACTTTGTGTGTGGGGGTTCTTTTTGACAGACAAAATAAATATGCCAAACAGTATTTTATATTAATTTGAGGATTAATTAGTAGAATCGATTAATTCTCTTCACATAATACATCTAAGTAAACTGAGTTTTGTGCATAGCTTGTAAGTTGACCAACAGACTTTATTCTGTTAGTTGGATATAGGACTACAGAAGTTTTTAAAGACTTGAATTGTCAAATAAAAGACTTCTCTGAAGTGTCTTTGCTTTAAACTTTCACACTGCACACTTCTTCCTATTTTCAGGCTGACTTTGTGCTTTGTTGAGGAGAGAATAAATGTGATCCTGAAGAACTCTTTTTTTCCTCAACTTTTACTGTGCATTAAGCAGATTTCCAAGTAGGGAAGGTGTTACCCTGCTAGCCTCTAGGCTTAGCATAGGAGTGCAGACATGGTGTTTGAACTTTGACATGCTAAATTGAAGCTGCAATGCCAGGAAATCCATAGCTCTGCTCCAGTGTGGGTGCTCTCCCAGCAGATTGTGCGTTCCCCTCGCCTTGGGGAAGCACGAGCAGAGCACGTTTGCTTCAGTTAAGAACAGTCCTTTGCTTTAAGCTCTGTGCGGGTAACTTCATAGGCATTAATTACTTGACTTAGGCACTCGTAGTGTCTGTTGTGTTTGTAACATTGTGAGCCCCCACAGGTTTTAAGGGATCTTGTGTAGGTGTTTCTGTTTGTACTGCTTGGCAGCAAAAAAGCTTTGGGTAATGTCACGACTGGGGCTTTTCATATGGTGTAAGTTCTCTTGACATCTAAGAAAGTTGAGTAGGTTCAGAGATTATAAATGTAGCATAGTTAGGCTTAGGTACAAACTTACCAATTTACCATTTGCTGGTTACAGATGAGGATAATTTTTAATGTTGTCTGTTTTCCTTTTAAATGGTGTCTTAAGAAGATACTCTTACAAGTCATTGTGTTTGTTCATACTCTCAAAACCAATTATTTTCAGATTGGTTTTGAAACTAGCTTTCTTCTTTGGAGGGCATTTCAGAAGCTTTGTAGTCAGTGTTTGGTTAAAGGTACCTTACTAAGCACATGGGAGAGCTGTGTCAGTGTGGGTGTATCCGTGTTGTTTGATGCCCTCGTTCAGCAAGCCATGAGCTACATCTGTTCAAATAAGCTCTCCCCATGCTTGCAGGTGTGTTAGGACAGCCCTGCAAATAGACAGTGGGTTTTTTCTCTTTTTGTCTCTTTTTGTCTTTTTATGCTCTAAGGTTGCACTAAGCTATATCTCTTTGAGCAACTGCCTTAAAGTTTTATGATGCACTTTGGATGTGCAAGTTTGGAGGCACGTGCACTACGTAATGCTGTGGAACCTGTACTGCATATGTGGTAATTTAGCTATTGCCAGTTCTGAATTCTAGAGCATGTCATAATTTTCTTGGACAGCTAGGGCTAGCAAGTCATATAGTCTGTACCCCTATAAAAAGCTGGCTATTAGTCATCCCTCAGTTACCAGTCTTATTCTGACATTAGCATGTATTACAAAAGGATGTCCAATATTGTTACCAAGGCATTAGAAAGCAGGTAACCATTGCTTTGTATTAGCTTGCTAAAAGATTAAACCCCGAGGCATTCTGTGCTAAATGTCATCTCAATTCGTTGAATTGTTTTTTGTACATCTTTTTCTCAACATCATCTTTCTAACATGGTATATTCTCTCTGTTGACCGAAGCAGCATGCAGAAATAAATGCATCTGTTCATTTAGCTCTGCTTGAATAGCCGAGCAGCAGAAGCTGGTGATAACTTAAAAAAAAAAAAAAAGAAAAAAAAAACCTGTGAAATTACAGTGTAAACTCTCATTGCTGTTCTCTTTCAAAGTAACTTTCCATACTGGAATCCTCTTCCCATTTTAAGGCATCGGTGATGTTCTTTGTTCCTCAGTATATAACTTTATACTTCCTTTTGTACAAAATAGGTCATGCCTGAGTGGAGTCTCTTACCAAACAGTTCATGTTCCTCTGTCTTAGAGCTTTCTCCACGAGTCCTTGTGCTTGGTTGCAGAAGTACTACTTTGCCTCATGATTTATATACTGCCTAACCCTTCCATGTTACTTCAGTAGTCCTGGTTTATATTTCTGAATCAGTACTGCATAGTATTCCTTTCACTTCTGTCTATACAGAGGGTTATTCAGGGAATTTCATTTTGTTTGCTTCTGATTTTTTATATATTCTAAATTAATATGTGATCAGAAAGTAATTATTAAGATAAAGTTTTATTTTTATTCTAGTCAAAGAAAAAAAAGAAATCAAAGGGAGATGCTAAAGCAGTTCAGGATCCATCACGTCTGGATGGAAAGGAAGTTGATGAAGGTACTGAACACAGAAGCACAAAAATGCAGTCAGACATATTTTGGCATAAATGGTATTTAAGAATTACTTCTATGCATGTTTTATAAGGAAACATAGTAAACTGAAATAGTAGGACCCTCATGTTGTTCATGTTTTTATCAATGAAGCAAAGTATCATTGCATTGCAAACAGAAAAAATATTCAGTGAATTGCTCATGTTTTCATACTAATGTTGAAGTTGACTGCCATGTCTGTAACTTTTTTTCAATAAATCAAACATAGATTCAGCCTACAGTTTGATCTGAAACACACTTTTTCCTTTCTACTTTCCAACTTATTTGGTGACGTTTTTATTTGGGGGTGGTATTTTAGGAGCCTGGGAAACTAAAATCAGTAACAGAGAAAAGCGACAACAGCGCAAAAGAGACAAGGTATTGACCGACACTGGCTCGGGAGAACTGAATCTCCAAGGAATGGAAAATGCAGTGACTGTTTCCATTGAACAACTGATGCCTGCACCTTCACTTCCAGTCGGTCTCAGAAAAAATAAAGGTATGAGAGAGGTGTCAAAACTAGAAAGATAATGTCTCTTACAAAGTAACAACTCTGTTTACATATATCCTAGATATATAGGGAAGGTCTGAGAAAAATAATTTCTTGAGAAACCATTTCAAGCTATTTAAAGATGCTTTGCGTTGCATAGGACTTGTCCCCCCTCTGTTATGCTGTTTCCTTTTTGAGCCACACTTTGGAGGGAAGTCCTGAAGAGAAACAGGAGTTAGGGGCTGAAGCACTGGCTTCCATGGTATTGCTCTGCCAATTGAGACATGATATATGGGTATCTAGAATTGCCCATATTCCTTCATTTGTGCTGCTGCTGACTCTGCCTGTTGTGTCCCTGGAGACTTCAAAGGCAGTACCAGCTCCCTGCCTGTTTCCTGCCTGCCTGCTTGCAGGAAAACTGTGCACGTGAGTGCTCTCCCGGGCCATCCTCTGCTTTAACTGCTTAGCCAGTAGAGTTTTGCTTCAGCATCTGATTTATTAGCACCTCTGCTAAATCTCTTCATAATTATCAAGATATCTGTCTGAGACTTAGTAACCAATTATTATAGCTAAGGAGTAACTAAGGAGTTGCAAAGTTTTAGCTTTTATGGCTACTAGTGTTTCAGAAAAGTCATGGGTTGGGTAGATTTTAAACCACTAGGCACAGCAACTCATACTTTTCTGTGATTAGAGAAGTAGTTCAAGAAGCAAGCTGACACTACAGACACAGCCAAGCAATTTAGATTTTTATGTGCTTTTAACCTATTGATACGCTTTGATACTTAAAGTAGAAGAAGCTGCAATGTTCTAGCAAAGTGGCAGGAAATATGAGCCTAACTGCTATCTTGTACCTTGTTGAGTTATGTTGAGTTATATGTCTTAGCTTACTGGTGTTTTTTTTACTGGCACTCGGCATCTTTGAATGTGTACTTGTCCTTGGGGACTAAATTCAATCTTTTTGTTTTTTGGCTTGTTTTTCTCTCTACATCTTTACATATAAACAGTTTCAAGAAATGCATAACTGCAGCTGCTTATATATTCTGTGGTTATCCAGGACTTATGTAATCACTCTAGACAGAGTCCATAACACACAATGTGCTCTTACAGATCACGCTGTAGGAGATTAATTTGAAAATAGTTCAGCTGTATCTAGCCTTTTTGTGGTATGGTGTAAGTTAAAATATCTGTATGTTTCTGAAATGCTTAGTTTTCCTTTGCTTGAAAATCTTAGCATGTCTTGGGTTTCTGCCTGCAAGTCCTGGGAAACTAGCTAGAGTTCTTTGAATTCCACATTTACCCAATTCATTGGCCTAACTCAGAGTTGAACTCAGTCTGTCTATAAAACAAGCAAAAATAATAAAAATCAGAACATTTAATTTTTATTCTAAAGCTTTCTAGTAACACCTTAATTTTCTTTAAGATATCATTGCACTTTCTGTCCGCCCCCCATCATATTAGTAATGAGTACTCTTTATAACTCTTGCTGTTTGCAAAACTTACTCTGTCTTTTTCCACCTCTTGATCAGGTGACACACTTCTGAACGTGCAACTCAGCAACTCTAAAACTGCAAAGGGAGAGTCAGCCATTCCACAAGGTAAAAGGCTATTATTGCTAGGCATGCTAATAAACTAGAAGTGTTGTACAAAAGTGAAAACACCAGTAGTCAGTGCAGGATGGTGTACAGCTACTGATCTGGAACTTTATGCAGCTGGCCTTTCTAGTTAAGAATCTTCATGCCAGCCTTATGAAATTAATCACTTTTTGTGACAACTACTTGTTTGTCCAAAGAAAACCTTAATATAACTAACTACAGTAGAGTTCAAAAATACCAGTCTTCATTACAATGAAGTGTATGCTTGCTGCAAATTGCATACCCATGAGTTATTAAGAAAAATATTGTATATATCGTAAACAAAATTGTTAAAATACTTGGTCACTTTGCACTGTCAATGGAATGAATGTTGAATCCTAGCTTTTTTTTTTTTTTTTTTTGATGAAACTGATCTAGCAGTGTTTAAAGTGTTAGTTTGTCAAAATGAGATCAGGATAGTTGTTTTGTGTTCCTAGCTGCATGTTAAGCCAACATTAGTGGTGTTGCTTTAATAAAAAGTAGTCTGTGTAATTAAGCAAGTCAACAGCTATTAAAAGCACCCAGATTCAGAAAATGAAGTTGTTTTTCAGAGACTTGCTTCACATGCAAACTTTTTGAAATACATCACAGAAGGAAGGAGTCATACTCTCTTCAGAGATGCATAAGGAGAGGACAGGAGACAGACAGTGCTCAAGCTGAGTAAGAGAAGTTCAGATTAGCCTTGGGGAGAGGAAGTCTTCAGCATGTTTCGAGAGATGCTGTGAGCTCTCCAGCCTTAGTGATTTCCAGAAATTGGATAATGTACTGTAATTTACCAGTTAGACCTGCTTTGAGTAGGAAGTTGGACTAGGTGACTTCGAGGCCCCTTCCAGCCTTAAGTTTTCTGTGATCCTGTGAAATGTTGCCAGTTATAGAGAAGGTAAATGTTAATGGTGGTAGCCTCGTCTGATAAACAGATAAATCAAGCTTTTCCTTCAGGACTTTGGCTACCTTCCTGCAGGGTCACAGAAGAATTTTTAACCACCAAGGTCCAAATGGATTTCTCTGTTTGTCATTTTTGTTGTTACCTGCCCCTAAGGCATTACAGTATCCATAGAGGACACTGACAACAAATACAAATGCTCTGAAGTTGTGTAGAGAAAGGATGGTGTTTTTAGGAATAAAGTTTGACATTTTATGTCTTTCTGAATTTGGAAATAGGATTTGCCTACTCAAGCTATTTAGGCACTTTAGGATCTCCCTGCAAATAAGGATGCCTTGGATGCAGCGTGTTTGTGTTGCAAATATATAGGAATATGTTTGAGAACGAAAATATTTAGACTACTGTTGTTTTTTGTGGTAGCTGTCATACCTTTTGTTGGCATATGACGCTGACTGAATTAAGCATCAGCTCTTGGTTGACTCTTATGCTCACAGTATGCAGATAGTTCTTGATAAGTTTAAATCAGCAATTTCTCTGTTGAGAATTGTTTGTGACATGTGAATCAGGCTGGGTGCTCGGGTGACTTTTACATTTTGCATGAACATTAAGGTTCATTATGAAATCCTCCTTACCGTATTACTTGGTATACTATGGAATCCTTTCAAAACATACATTAAACATGCTATAACTGGTAATTAAAAAGGCTGTCATAGATTTAAAAACTTGTCTTTTGCATTAGTGTGGCATAAAATATATTGGTTATAAATTATATTTTTTTCTTTAAATTTTATGAACTCCATGCTTGAGTGTAATAGCTATCCTCTTTGAAAAGTCCCTATAGTGTTTGAGAAGCACTTCCTACTTCTTCATCTTTTTTTAATTATTATTTTTAATTCCTGCTTGGAAAACTTCTGTACCCATCAGGGTTACACTGAAAGACAGAATGTCTCCTGCTTTGTATGGGGCTTGTTCCCTGCTGGATAGGAGAAAGGACCTAGCAGCACTCATTGTCTGTTCTTCCCTCCCCTTTTGTTATTAGTTGTTATTGTTACATAGAGACACTGGTCACCACAAGATGCTAGCCCTATAAAGAAGAGGACATGGAATAGAGGATAATTTGGTGCTGCTGTTTCCTCACTCATCAAGTTAGAAGACAGATGGTGATTATCATCTGAACTGGAAAAACAGCTGAGAGAGCAGCAGCTCTCTTCTGTATTGCACTTGTATAGCAAAGCTGCTATTCATTTGTACATTTGTGCTTTTTTACTGTTAAGTATATGTGCATGTACATAGTATTTCAGTTCTTCATTTAGCTCGTTTACATCGTGTTTTTTTTTTAATGTTTTTATTTAAGTTTCTGCAGGATTGAATGAAAGCCATACTGTAAATGGAGGAAGCTGGAATGAGAAGCCTGTAAAAATCTCCTCGCAAATTGGTGTAGGGGAGGAGAAATGGACATCTGTGTCCTCAGCTGCAGCTGGGAAGAGGAAGACAGAGACGTCAGCTTGGAGCCAGGATGCTGGAGATGCTAATGGAAATGGAAAAGACTGGGGCGTAACCCTGGTGGGCAGGCCTTGGAAAGAGCGTTCTTTGTTCACTCCTATTGGTAAGCTATTCCGGGAGAATTTTGCTTTGTTTAAGAAATACTGTGTTGGAAAAATGCTTAGTAGTGAATCTCTTGAATAGCTTTATGCTTATATGGTCAAAGGGAAAAAAATCCTTGAGCAGTCTAGTGAAATGTAAATTAAGCATTTTCTGTTTATTGTAAGATCTGACATAGTGGTTTATTTTCTGCCCTGCTGATTTAACTGGGTTTTTGGAGGCGTCAGAAGAAAAATCTGTCATGGAAAGTGATATCGAATTTTTGATTTCTAAAATTCTGATACTAATATACTAAAGCATTTTGAAATCTAACCTTTTAATGTAAATGTCCTAGAAGACAGATCATAAATCAGGTCTGTTGATGCTATATAAGATCCTCTGTATCTCTGTCATTTCTGGCAGATGTTTGCCTAGGCTCCGTCATGAAGATTGTTCAGCTCCAATGACAGATAGTCTCTTGGAGTGTCTCACTGTTTTTCCTATTACAAATTGTTTTTCTTTAGTCTTCTCCAGTATCGTTTGTAGAGTATTGCCAATTGTGTTGTCCAGAATAAACAGGGAGGAGACTTTGCCACAACTTTCTTATGAGCAGGTGCTGCATTATAGCCCCAGTCTTTAGTATAAGCGGTCTTAGTTTTATCTAGTGAAATGTGGTGGTTTTTTGTTTGGTTGCTTTTTTTTTTTTTTTCCCTCATTTTAGTCAGCAGTATTGCTTTAATATAGTTATTTGTCCCACATATCTTGAAATGTGGTGCCAAAGCCTAGACCGGGTATTCCACCAGAAGCTTTACTACTGCTGAGTAGAGCAAAGGTTTGCTTTGTATTTCTGTTAACCTTATCCTGCATTAATGAAATATTTATTTTAATGACTGAACAGCTTGAGCTTGTTATGTTACCAGGGGGAAATCATGTTTGACCAGGCTGATTCTTTTCTGGTAAAATGCCTCGATCTGTGGGGGAGTGGGCAACCATGGCTGTTATTTACCTCAGCTGTAGTGTAACTTTCAACACATTCTCCCACAATTGTTTTGTATCCACTTTCATTTGTTATGGCCAAAAACTAGATGGGTTAAAAGAAGAGGTTAGGCCCAGAAGATAGTGGTTTATGTATCATGCTCTGTAGAGGGCCCAAACCAGGGGGCCTGGTTGGGCCTGCGCTTAGACGTGTTCATCTTCATCAATGGAAGTGGTGGCAGTGTCATTCACTTCAGATAAGTAGATTGTATCAAACTGGTAGGACCCAACTGATGCACTCAAGATCAGAGCTGCCACCCAGAGGGATCTCAAGAGGCTGGGGGAAGGAGCCAGCAGGCACCTTGGGAAGTTCAGCAAGGACAAAAGAGTGAAGTTCTGCATCCAGGAAGGAAGAACCCCCAGCTGGGGCCTGGCTGGCTGAAGAGCTGCCCTGTGGGGAAGGGCCCTCTTGGGGAGAGAGCTGCATGTGGGGACAAGGGACACCAGCAGTGGCCTGGACTCTCCTAATGGGAGTCAGAGGGTGGGAAGCAGCGACTGTTGCCCCTCAGCTTCACGCTCTTTAGACTGAAGCTGGAACTCTGCTTCCAGTTTAGGGCTTCCATTCTGGGTAAGGTGTTGATCAGCTGGAGCAAGTTCAGTAAAGGGCTACCAGAACGTTTTGGACTAGAGCACTCTTCCAGTGAGGAGATTGAGAGAATGGGGCTTGTTTAGCCTGGAGCAGGAAAGGCTTTGTAGAGGCCAAGCAGCAGCCTGATGGTCCCTGTGAGCTTCTCCTCTCTCCAGAGACAGCGCAGGGCTCCTCAGTGGCACAAGGCAAGAGGATGAGAGATGGTTGACACAATTTGCAACAGTCTGGATTTTCAAGACTTTACTTAATAAAACTCTATGTAACCTTGTCTGACCTCAGAGCTGACCTTGCTTTGAGCAGCAGGTTGTACTAGAGCGCTCCTAAGGTCTCTTCCAGCCAGATCATTTTTGTTTGCAGCTCACTGTAACCCAAGTAGTTTTTGTTCAGAGCAGCATTCTAACCAGCTGTTTCTTTGGACACATTTTTACCATTGAATATTTCTCCTTATTTTTTTCTATCTTCTTTTTAACATTGAAGTATCTCTTTTTATTTTTTTTTTTTTTAATCAGTATCTCTTATTTGTCAAAAACTACCTTGAAGTTGACCGTTCAAAATATTTACAATTTGCTGCAAGCCGAGCACCTTCTACAGAGCTGTTGGTATGCTCCATAACATCCATAATAATGGGAAAAAGTAACAGTATGAGGCTCAAAATAAAGTAGCCTTTGCAAATTGTTTATATATAGAAATGGTTAGAGGGAGAAACACCTTAGTTGAAAAAACCTCTCAAATTGAAGATTCATAGATACCTCTGTCAGCACCAATGGTCACTTAGTGAATTAATGCTGTTAATTACATCAAATGTTATTAATATTGCTCTAGCTTCTTTTGCTTTCCTGACCCCATATATCATTAAATAACTACCTTTATTTTTAGCAATGCCCGCAGTGGGAAGGTAGCTCTGTTTTTATTCTTCTTTCCCCACAGCTGCTTGGAATGTGGATGCCAGGATCAATACCTCTGAACAGAATTCTTCTTCCTTCACTTCATTTGGATTAACTCCTGGAGTATCTGGTACGTACACCCTTACAGAGACTTTTCCCTTGCTTCTCCCCGACCAGGAGGAAATAGAATTTGGAAAGAATTTTGTAGTTGCATTCAAATTATGGAATAATAATGTAGTTTTTAAATTCATTGTTAAGAGGCAGGCGATACAAATTAAAAGGTGATATATCCTGTTCTCTTTCATATCCTTCCTGTTTGTGTTCAGTCTCAGGAATGTTCGGTCATTGCTCTGTCTCAAGTTAGGGGTCTGAAGTTGGCTTTCTAGGAAAGCCTGTTTACTCTGAACTTCAACTTCTGTGGGTTTTTGGCTTGCCTTTTTGTTTGTTGTTGTTTTCATGAAAGAATTGAAGGAATATTGTTCAAATGTGTTTCATAGGCAGTTTTTTGAACTTCTAAGTCTTTGCTCTGTAGAATGAGTGAGAAATCTGAACTCTGGACTCTCTTGTTTCGAGGGCAAAATAGTTGCAGAGTTACAGACCTGGCTTCCTATCAACTTTTGCGTGTGGAAACTACCAATATCCTGAGTTTTACAGCAGTATATTAGATAGTGAAGGAGTAGTTTGTCGTGTTTCCTGCTCTTGCTTACATATTCCCATGGTCTAGAAAACTTGGCATGGCTATCTTCTTTTTGGAAGTAGTTCCAAAGTGCTTATGCACTTAAGGATAAGTTGCTATTATTGCAGTCTATAGTCTGTTAACTGAAACTAGAGGTCCATGTCCTACAGCTCACACTAGTGTTTCGTTTTCTGCATGCATGTTGTGCCAGTGTAGCAAAGAATTTATGTGCACCAAGGTATAATTTATCAGACTTTATAAGGAACTGACAGCTGTTCACTTGAAGATTGACAGAAAGCTTGTATAAAAGGACAAGGACAGGAAGAAAAAAGTCTTAGCCAAGCAAAATGTTTTTATATGGAAAGCTTAAGTTTTCTAGGGGAGCCATTTAAATTCAAGTTCCATCTCCAGGATGGAATTTGGTACGTAAAATACATATATATATATATACACACACACACATATATATATTTGCACACACATATATAAATACATATACATATATACAGAGAGAGAGGAATAACTTGTGAGATTCACAAGTACGATGAAGAATGCTCATTATCTTTATGTAAGAGGACCATTTTGCACAGGTGTTTATAAAGTAAGGAGAAGCAAATAATTGTATTTTCACTTAAACTTTGTTTCAAAAAAAAAAAAAAAGTACTTATCATGCTTGGCCTTATTCTTGCTTGTGATGCATAATGCTGCTTTTATGTTCCTGAAATATTTTACTCGAGAATTTGATGTTTTCTTAGTAACGAGTAATTCAATACAGTGTAATTTATCAGATTTCTTCCTAGCACTCTAAGTCATTGGGCTTTTTTTGTATGATTTGATTGTTTTTGTTTTTAGCTGCTATCAGTAGGAATCCTTACTGATGCAGGGTAAATAAGTTTACTACCCATAAAAATTCTTTGTGCTTTCCAGTGTAGGGAGACTGCTGTCTCCCTAAGTCTTACAGAATGCTGTTTCTATCCTCCTTTTCCCATCATTATTGTATGTCTTATGTTGTTGTTCTTATCTATCTTACCCTTCTTTTGAGCTATCATTTTTTTCCTTTTTCCTGTTCTTCTCTGACTTGAATTTGCATCTTCCATCCTCAGTTTCCTTGTCTTCTGAGTATTTTTGAAGAACTTAGATTTCTTGTTCTTCTATGCACTCATTAGAAGGCTAAAAGAAAAAAGTCCCTGTCCTTTCTTTCTTATTTTGCTTTGAATTTCTTCACCAAAGAGAATTTGTGGAGGTTGTAACTGGCAACTACAACTGTCTTTATTTCTTTCTAGGATCCAACAATGAGTCAGCTTCTCAGGCTGCTACTTCTGATTTTCAGTGGGATTTAAGTCATGCTCAAGCCCCTGTTGATGACGAATGGTCTGGGTTAAGTATGTTACTCTAAAATGCTCATAAACAAAAATCATATTTTCCGTGTCTTTCAAGTGTAGCTACATCTGTTAGCTACTTGCATTAGCCAGTAGCTACCCTGTGAAGAATAAATGAGATGTTTTACCTTGATTAAAGTTAAATATCAATTTAAAGAAAGCAGATTACAGGGAAAAATATTTTGATCATACTATATTTTTAGGCATAATATTATATTTTTAGACAAAATTCTTGATTATGCAAACTCAAAGTAAAAGAAAGTTTATGTATTTTGGGGCAGTTCTGGCTTTTGCTAGAGAAGTTGATAAAGTAAAACATTCTAATTCACTGTGAATTATAGGAAAAGTCTACTATGGGACTGGAAAAGATGTGTTGCTCTTAGACTGTGTTTGAACAACTGAATTTGCTTTTATTTATTATGTGGTATCTGAATGAAAAACTGAATGTAACAGAAGACTCTTGTATATAATCCAACTTGCTTCCTCATTCAGCAGACATTAGGAAATTTTAATATACGTTGAAGTTTGGCTAGAGGTCATTTGAGATTATTTGGAAATTGTGTTTACTGATGATTTTAAAATACCTTCTTGTTGTCCTTATCACAATGTGTCCCAAAATCATGGCTGTAGTATAATGAAATTACAGGCATATCTAAATAGTTACTAGCAGAAATTCCCCTGAAGAAAGATTTCAGCCTAAGTTCACCTTTTGAATTGTATTGTAATTGATATTTTCCTTTAATTAAATCTAAAGATGTTTGATGGTGAACAACTGTTAAATTGTCCCTCTTTACACAGTTTATTAAAAAGACTTAACTGCTTTGAGACAATTTAGCTGCTGCTGTGATTCATTTGTGATCACATTGCTCTTAAAATAGCAAAAACTTATCATTACTTGTCATTAAAATGTGTATATTTTTCAGAAATATGGCAGATAGGTGTGTTTTGGTATCAAGAAATGGTTATTTGCATATCATTTTTTTTCTAAGCTATTAGGAGCATCATTAGAACATTCCTTAAAAATGCTTCTTGATCTTTGCAGATGGACTTTCTTCAGCTGATCCCAGCTCTGACTGGAATGCGCCAGCAGAAGAGTGGGGGAATTGGGTAGATGAAGAAAAAGTCGCTCCTGTTCCACAGCCTGAAGAGGCATCATCAGATGTTCAGAAGGTGAAGGCAGTATTTTCTGCTAAGCACCATAACTTTATCCCCCCTGCTGGCTTTTCTTAAAAGGACTTAAGAATGGTGATAAAGTGCATCTCTCACCTCTGTTATATTCATAAAAGCAGCACGATTACATTAATGTGTAACACAAAAGGAAATGCTGACTCTCTTTGAGTAGAATCCACTCTTTTCTAACAGCCTCTATGTCATATCTTTCTGTCTGATTTTAGCATAAGATATTACCTTATCACCGTGTACCGAGAGGTTTCAATCCTTCATAACTGATCTTCAATAATATTTCTATTCTGTATGAAAAACATTATTTCTATGACACTGGCTTCATTACCCTTTTTACTCCTAACTCTTCTGTGCCTCCAGGTAGCCCGTTAAAAATGCAGTCTTTCTAAAACTGAACAGATACACTTGTATGCACTGAAGAGACTTAAATTGCATATCAATATTTTAACTATTATTTTTATGCTATTGTTTAATTGTGCTTCTAAATATTAAATCCCTTATATTCTCATACTAAGGCTTCAGATAATGAAAGAGAAAAAGCAGACCCACTTCAGAGTGCTGCAAGTGGGAAATCCAAGAAAAAGAAGAAGAAAAAGAAGAAGCAGGGTGAAGAGGCTAACTCTCCTGCAAAGGTAACTTCTAGGCAGTCTGTAAAGTAGTTTGTGAGGAATTCACAAAATCAGTTTATAAAAATGGTTATTATTGGCTTAATGCAAAATTCTTTTGGGGAAAGATGAATTTAATTTCTTTATGGTATTGGATTAGTCTGCTACTATTTTGAAAGAATTTAAGTGCTGAATTCTCATTAGCATTTTCTTAAATTTGGGTGGTTGTCTGACTTGCGAGCACCTTTGGGTGGTGCCATGGAAATCTCGAAATGTGAGGAAAGAATTTATCCTGAATTATTTTGCTCCATCGGGTCAGAACTCTGTGACATCTAGCAGCAGCCTTTTTTTCTCTGGTTGGGAAGTTGCCTTGTGTTCTTCTGAAAGACCACCTTCTTGGTGGGCATAGTTGGCCAAGAGAAGGGGAGAAACTGAAGTTCTCTGTTAGGCTGCTCAAACAATTCTGCTAGGTTATAGTGGTTGTTTGAAGTGCTGTTGTAGTTTGTGTGAAATTTTCAGTATCAAGGCCTTGTAACTCAGTAGATTGAGCTATTTTATGTGGATTGAGCTATTCTATGTAAATGAGATCTGAACAGGCTGTTATTTGCAAACTGAGGATGGTTGGAGTCTTTTGTGTTATTTAAATGGTTAGTAGCTTTCAAAGAATTACTTAGAAACAATTTTTTTCTAAGCACAACAAAAGCAGATTACATGTTGTTTGCAATTGAGGCATGCTTTAATATGTTAAAGCAAGTATCTTCCTAATAGAAAAAAAGATTTTTAATTTAGTTTATACTCAGAATACACTTCTATTTCTGTGTGTAGTTGGCAGCCATTCTTAACTTCCATTCTTTACAAAACATTAACTTCTTGGTTGAATCTGAATAAGTAAACTCGGGAAGAGGCAAGAGCTACTACAGACATACTTGTTCTGGGTTTGTTGCTTGCAATTAGCATGTTTTCAATCTGGGTGACTCTAAAATCAATGTGAACTTGCAGTGTTTCTTTTGAGGGGAAGAAGAGGGGATACCAGGACTGCAATAAAATCTGCTTTCTAGCTTTGAAATCTGTCATGTTCTGATACCCAGTTACTAATCTCCGTCTGCTCTGATCCTCGTCCATGACTGTAGATGTAAGTCAATTAATAGGTTATGGTTAATGAGAGTTTTCAGAGGTCTTGTATGGGTCTTCAGCTCAATAAGTGAATTCTGCAATTTTTTTTAATGCTCATAAACCACCTTTTAAGCTGAATGTGTCAAATTCTGCTGGGTCTCCCTCGGTTCTGACTTTGAGTTATCTTTTTCACTCAGTCTAAATATGAAAGTGAATAGTTCTTTGTTTTAAGTTTTTAGAAAAAAAATGGAACTATTCTTTGACAGGAACAAAATGGATAATGCATGACCAATAGGTTGTCCTTCCATTATTGCAAGTTATTCATTTAATTTACCAGTCTTAAATACATGTAAGCTGCATATTTATACTCTGAAAATCAAATATGTTCATATAAATACCATCTTGCACATTCATTATACTTTTGTGTTCATTCCTGGTTTTTTGACTAGAGTGTCTATTGGAAACATGAGTAGAAATTACTATGACAGATAAGTAAAAGGTGTAAGGTACAGCTCTTTGGAAATGAATATAGACTTGGATTTGCCTCTGCTTGCACAAGATTCTAGGGAGAGTAATGAAAGAAAGAGAAGAAACCTCCAGCCTAAAACTAGATAACTGTGTTCCACTTACTGTTCCACCACAGATGCTTTCTGATGCATCTACCCTGTAATTACTAGTGTAAATGAAAGCTTTCCCATTGTAAGAGCTTAGGTTTTATAGGTAGCACCAAAGACTCAATTTGGTTGCGGAATACTTGTTAAACCTTAATATGATAAAGAGCTTATAGACATCAATTTAAAGGTTGCATTTAAAATTATCACTGATAATTTTACATTTTTTGAGAGTAAAGTGTTTGTTTTCTCACTTTTTTTTAATTTCACACAAGCATAAAGTCAGGACTTTGTTTACAGATAAGGGCTCTTCTTTTGCATCTTCTGCAGGACACTGAAGAACTGGATAGAGAAGCTGGAGAAGAATTTCGTGAGGATACCTCAAAAGCTCAACCACAGCAGGAAATAGCTTTTCCTTTGAAGACCATAAGTACTAGTGAACCAGCTAAGGTAGGTATGAAGAACAACTTAACTGGTAACTCTCAGTTCTGGAGTATTAAAGGCTCGTTGAAGCACTAACATCTGTGATAATGTCACACAGTGAAGATACTGCATCAGGCACTCTTTGTTTATGAATATGAAGGTGACTGAGCTCTTGAATTTTTAGGTATTAGGTCATTTTACACTTAGTTTTAAAAAGCATGTCCTCTCTGAAAAAGCACTGAAAAAGCACTAAAATTTCTAAATTTCTGACTGCCAACTTTCTGTTTGAATGTATAAATAATACTTTAAAACTCTGAGATCTGGAAAGCTAAGAGCTAATAGTTCTTGAGAGTAAGACTGATGTCTTTATTTTTTCATTGCAACAGTGTTAGCCATGTAACTTTTTATAATGTCACTTATACATAGTCTAAGTGTAAATTTTAGTAGCTGTGCTGAGCTTTATTAATGATTGAAAAATCGTTAGCTTTTGCTAAACCAGTTGATAAACTGAGCATTTGCTTCAGCTGACAGTTCAAAGATATTCTAGGTAATAGGAGCTCTCTTTCATCTCGTCTCCAATCAGAGTTCCTTAGGTATTATTATTCTACATAACCACATAGTAGGAAAAAATATCTAATTTTTCTAGTGAGACTGTATTTATCTTCTATAAGAAGTAGGCTATACTAGTGAGACAACAGTTTGGTATCACACAGCATCTGAATTTTATTTTTTATGTAACAAGTGTTTAGTGATTAAGACTAAAAAAGTCGTAGGGTTCAAATGAAGGTAGCTTAAAATTGAATCTTCTACCAGAGACTGGAGATCACCAAAGAAAAGTGTCTTGCCTGCCCCCCACTTCTTTGTCTTGTCCCCCGCCCCCATCCCTTATTCGCTCTATTTCCCTTTGTCTGAACATGTTAGGGAAAACATCTGTCACTTATCAGCAGGCAAATTTTATATTGAGAGATACTGTTAAAAATCATTCATTGGTAGTAAGTTTTACAAGCTACTGCATGCATATAACTGCTTGTATTAGCAGAAGTAGTAAGTTTTACAAGCTACTGCTTATCAATAAGCTTCCTAGAATCATGCATATAACTGCTTGTATTAGCAGATGGATCTTGTTGCTTGTTCTGGTTTTCTTTCCTGAACTAATTTGTTGTCGTGTACCACAGAATGTTAATTAAGTAATTCCAAATTTTTGGCATTCAGTAGCAGTAACCACTTCCCTTATTCAAGTCAGGTGCAAAATCCCTCCTTTGGGAAGCTGTGCAGATAGAGCTACCTGTAGCAAGGGTGCAGTTACCCTTGCAGTAATCCTGCAGGCTTCAGTGTTCAGGCCAGGGCACGTTCGCTGTCTGCCTGTAGCTGCTGAATGTCATTTCAGTCTTGAGTTGCTTTGCATGCAGTTGCTTAGTGACTCAGTATTAGCAGCACCCTGCATGATAGCAGGGAGCTGAATCGGTTACGTCAGAGTTCCTAGTTGTGCAAGGTGACTCCTCTTCCTGCTTCAGAGGCTGTATCAATCCTTCTGTAATTAAGGATTTTGTGTAGGTGATGATTGGTAACCACTAGACGCTATAGAATTGACCAAGCCAGAAATCTTGCAGCATCAAAGTTCACTTGCTGAACGTAGATAATATGAAATTGCTTGTTGGGGTTGTGGGTTTTTTTTTTTTTTTTTTTTTTTATGATTTTAAAAGAAATACTAAAATTCTAGTTTAAGTAAATCAGTTGTGTATTGGCACAGTAAACTTTAATAAATGCTTTAGGAACTCTTACTTTCTTGTTGTGTAAGCTATTAAAGCTTTTCAACTTTGTGCTCCATATGATACAGTAAAAAACAGTCTTGGTATTCTGTGGTTTGTGTGTGTGTGTTTTTTTCTTTTTTTTTTTTTCTTTGATGCTTATATGTTACAATGATGGAAACAGTATCAACCGATAAAAATTACAATCTATGTCCTTCTGCAGAATACCAGGGGTTGGATGTAGGTATCACTGATTCTTGGTCCTGGCTCTTGTAGCACAGCTGTTTAATAACATGCTAAAGTTGGACTTTTTGTTTCTCTCAACTGATGCACTGTCCTCTAGTATAATCTTACTTGGAGCCTTGTGCTAGTGAGTGATGTGCTATAGGATCATATGGCTCTTGTGATCTCTTTGGTCCAATATTTCTACTGGAATATTGGAGAGGCAAGAGGGGGACATTCCAATTTCTGTTTTACTGCACTTAAATTCCAGTGATACACAGTAAGCTACAGTTTATCTTTGCAATGGGAACTTTCAAAATGCAACAGTTAATTGAAAAATACTAAGAATATCTTCTACATAGCAATTTATCCTATCGTAGTTTCCATTGTGATTTTTTGACTGCTTTTGCAACTGTCTAAATTTTAATATAAGCACAGGGCATGTTTGGGCCACTTGATAGAAATAACTACAAACACTTTCTGAATATTATAGAAATTTAAGTTTTTGAATTACATCTTTGGACCTACTTGGCTTGAAATAAATCCATACAATGTGTCACTGTCTTGCACCTGTTCTCCATATGTGTAGAGTCTAAGGAGTTTTAGATTTATTCTTTTCTCAACCTACGTTAAAATGCATGGTATGTTAACTGGTTTGGTTTCTCTTGGGTTGTATACAACTAAACTTTTTGGCACTAGATGGCAGTCATAGTCTTACAGCTTTGATTACAATTTTAGAGGATTTTAATATTGACTTAATTTTTCAGTGTCACCTTTGTAGCATCTGCCAGGTTTGCTTCCAGAAATGACAATGCATAAGAGTGTTTTTCACTGTTGCATGACTTTAAAATTGTATTTTTTTTTCTATTTTTGAAAATAGCCTGAGGAGGCTCCTTCGCTTGCTGTTTCTCCTGAGCCATCTGTAATTGTATCAGAAAGTGATTCTGACAAGATCACTTCCCAAGTGCCACAGATGCTGCAAGAGACAGATGTTTCTAGTCCTAATATTAAGCAAAACAGTGTGCCTCCTCCGCAGAGTAAGTATCTCAGTACAGGTCTTTTATCCCCATTCAGGCTGTAGTTTCTCCCATGAGCGTTCTGACTAGGTGGGCTTTAACCATGGTGTCAAGTATTGGTATTTTCTTTGCACATCTTACTAGACTTTAACTCTGGTAGAAGAAGTTTAACAAATTTCCTTTCACTGTGAGGGAAATTGGCTTCATGGGTTTGAAGAGACGTGCGCTGGCCTCGAGCAGTGCTCAGCAGACCCTTGGACATGCCCTTTGCCATCAGGGCTGGAATTGGTGCTGTGACTAAGTAGTTCTGCCAACGTGTTTTTAAAGGCCTGTTTGCAAGGGTTCTGTGGAACAGATGGCTGCTGACATACCAATTGACAAGATGCTTAGCAATCAGAAATTTGGAAAAGCATGCACAATTGAATGTTCAACCTACTAGTCTTTGGCTTCTCAGCTTAACTCATTAATCTTTTCCTTTTCCCCTTTCTTCCACACCCTTTTTCTTCTATGCTTCTGTGAAATGTAGTGGTCATGGAGGAAAACATGTGCTAAGTAAAGTAGCAAGGTGTCGGGTCATGTGCTGTTTTTCTTTTCTCCTTCTGTAGCTTAGCAGGACATGCCTCAAGCTGAACTACTGAGGGCGGCTCGTTGCTTTTTAAGATTAGGCTGTGCCTGGAGGTCTCAAACGTGCTCTCTTGCACTCAGCAACTGTTCTTGCACCATAACACTCAACTCTGCAGTAATGCAATATAAGGGATGTCAGGGTATGAGAGCTTTAAAAACAAACAAGCAGAACATCACCACCCCCTTCACACTGAAGTTTAGCTTGAACGAGAGTTAGTTATTTTGAATAAACACTGACCTTTCTTAAAACTCCCTAAGTGCTGAAGCGCTCATTTTTAATAACAGCTGAAGAAATTTACTCAGCTACATTAACTGGCTTCTTGGTTCTGAGGAAATTTTAAAACTGAAACAACAGCAAATCTTTTAACTCAGTGTCTCAATTTACTGCTTTTAATTTGGTTTTAAAATGTCAAGGTTTTTGTGACTTTCATGCCTCAGCAAGAAGAACATATTTTGATGTCAAAATATATTTTACCTGACTTACCATTTTTGGTAGCCAGCATATTTTGGATAATCTGTTTCGATAAAGTGACACAGTGCTTCTTTATTTGATATTGGATTACACATAACCACATCTTTACCAAATAACTAGTTTTTAAAATTCATCTTCTAACATTCAGAGATCACTTGTTTAGTGATAAAAATGTGATCTGAAAAAAGCGAACAATTAATGTGCATTGTTTGAGTGTACATAACTTGGATGTGGTCAAAAAATAATAATGACAATACTGTGAATCTTCATAAAGTAAAAAAAAAAATGAATGGCCTCCTTTGTAACTGAGTTCTTGTATTTGTTTAAAAAAAAAAAGGTATGAAATTGGCAAACTGTCATTGTAGTTGCATTTTACATTATTCTATCTGGCATAAAAAGCTCTGCTCAAAAAAAAAATGCTAGTTGATATTTCTGCATAGCTTCATAGTAATAAGGGATGTGCTTTGGAGTATATTATAAAATCAGTTCTACATAGACTTTTTCCAGTCATAATGCTGTAGTTGATGTTTTGTTTTTGTTTCACCTTTCTAGCAAAGTCTGAAGAAAGCTGGGAATCCCCCAAACAAGTTAAAAAGAAGAAAAAAGCAAGAAGGGAAACGTGAATTTCCCAAGATGGACATGTGTTGCTGAATACTGTCATGAAGATAATGCTGTTTATGCAATAATTTGTGAACATGTACAGAATTTTATATAAATTTCAACCAATTTTTAAAAACAGAACTGCTGTGAACACAAACATCTTTAAAAAGGAATCAAAGGAAAGTAATTTTATGATATAGAAAAACAGAACATGCTACGTTTGAAAGACATTCTGAGGAGTCTGTTTTTTCCAACTTACGGAGAGAGATATTAACTAAAAACTGGTTTTACAACACAGTGCCCTGTTTACAACAGATTATACTCTCATCTACAGCTGCGAATAAATGATTAATTTTAAGGGTTTTCTGTAAAATAATTGTCTGTACAATAGTGGGTGCTTCTTGCCTCTCTTCGGAGAGATGCATCAGAAGCACAGAATGTCTACCATGGGAATTTGTTTCATGCCTAAATCAAAGTGCTTTGATTAATACGTAATCTGCCATATCTGCCATATAGCGAGCTGGTTAGCCCGTCTGCTAGCTATTAAAGGAATCACAAGTGCAAATCATTAACTATTTGTACAGTCAAACCTTCATGGGTTATTATATGAAGTTAACAATAAAACTGCTTTGGGTTAAAAGTTTGAGAATGTGATTTGAAACTTGAGTATGGTTCATGAAGTTATTTTTGATAGTGTCTATTACCTTACTTGAATTGTTGAAAATAACAGTATATTTTTAAGAACGCAGTAATGTGCATAAAATGAGTTTTTTTCTGCTTCATTCCCTACAGATCTTGATTCAGATTCCCATCTAAAACTGTATACCTTTTGACTTTTAATCTCATGGCTGAATTTAAATTAAATGTCCCCTCCCCTTAGCATTTATTAATTTACTGCACCCAATTCTGTTCTTTATTACCAAAACTCCAAAAAGCTAGATTTCACTCACAAATTATATGAAATTTAAAAGACTTGGAGAATTGGAGTGGCTTCAGATGCTTTCGCTTTAATTGTCTAGACCGGTTATCAGGAATACTATTTTTTTCCTGCCTTAACCTCTAGTATAGAGAGTGTGTCTAGACTTCTGAACAGGTTTTTATCAAAAAAAGGCATTCATGCAAGTATAGCAGTTGTAAAATAAAGAACACTTCCTGTTTGAAACTGTTGATTAAAATGGTGTTTTAAGGTGTGTTGTCATTTTCAGGCACTGTGTAATTACATGCTAGCAAACTGGCAGGTGCGTTTGTATCTATATGGTGCATGCTCAGCCATGTACATTGTATATAGCCTTTACAAGAAGTTGCTTCAGAAGGATGGTAACTAACATCACCTGTTGAATTCTGTTAACAAAGAGCCATGATTTTTTTTTAAATGGTTGCCTTTTGGTTTTGTGGCACGAGCAGAACTGTTAACAGCTGTAGCACATGGTACTGTAGATCCAAAAATCTTTTATTGTCTTACTGTGCTTGACTGCAGTTCAACAGTATTGCAAGGCAGGAATAGGTAACGAAACAAGCCGGGTTTAACTGTACCGAAAAGGCACTTGCTGATGGGGAGCTTTCCTAATAAATGGATACTAACTTGCACAGGACTTAACCCCTTGTATATCAGGAATATGCTTTCGTGTTCAGAAGTTTTGTTTAATTCAGCAAAGTTCTAAATCAACTCGTTAAAATAAACTGAGCGTATTGACAGTATTGATTTATTTACTTGGGAGGGATTAATGCCTAAGATGAAGACTTGTCAGGATTTGTGTAAACTATATTTGGAACTGAAGTACAGTTTTCAAGGAGTATTAAATGCAAACACAGATTGAATATTACAAAATCATGTAGAGTCCCTTCTTGTAAATAATAATTTCATTTTATTTGCTTCTTTTTGTAAAGGCAAAACAAATACCTTTTGAATTCAGGTTTGTAATGTATGTCCAAGATGTCTGTGTATTGTGCTACAAGTCTCTTCTGTAGAAAACGTGAAGATCCTAAGTCTGAAAGACTGCCCTGGAGAGCTTGCACTGCATACAGCTTGTCTCCTGCAGATAAACGTGGTGGTAGTCACTGGTTAGTAAGCTCGAGCTCTTGAATAGCTCATCATTCTGAACCAAAACTAGCTAACAACATAGGAAACCTGCTAATAACTTACTCCTAGGCAGCAGCATATAAATGCATAGCCTTCCTTTCAAAATGTTGTTACCTATTTAGCAGCACCTCTTTTTTTCTTAAAAAGAGAAAAAAAAATGAGCAGCTTCAATGTCTTAAAAATCTAGACTTGCTTTATTTGACATTCATTAAAGAGGTAGTACCTACATAGCATATTGTCTCTAAGCAGAAGCTTGGTTATCTGTGTATTGTCATGTTTCTATGACTAAAGCAGTGGTTAGTCTTAATGATACACTGAATCCAGACTTCGGTATTCGGATAGAAAGAGAAAACACCGTTTAAAGAAACCTACAATTGTTTTTTTGTTGTTGTTCAGTGCATGAAATGGTTTCATAAATCCAATATATTGTTTTTTAAAGTACTCTGAAATTATTTGTATGCGTAATTTAAACTTGTTGTGATGATGTGTAATTGGATAGTCATGGCATATTTTTATTTCTCTGTGGGGAGGGAGAGGTGTATAGAATTCATATGTGCTTGTTACAAAGTTAACCTGTGCATTGGTTTGGAGGGGGTTGAAAACTGTATTTCTGATCTCCTTTTAGAAATCTAAAGGGAAAGTGCAAGATAAAAAGCACTACTTTAATATTTACTAAGAAAGAATGTACATATTAAAAAATTTCAAACTTTATAGAAATACAACTAGTATTGTTGTGTTTGTAACTGAGTTGTATCCTGCTGGACGCTGCTTTATTAGGAGTTTCCTGGCCATGGAATTAGCCTGTGAAATAAGGTTTCGGTAAGTGCAGTAACACGGGCATGCATGGTTTTAAGTAGCCTTCCTAATGTTATTAATCAAGTCATTTTGTGTTTAATTGAGTTGAGCGGGACTCTGGTCGAGTCTTTGGTGTTAAAAGCTATTAGACACTTGCAGCTGTCTGTACCTGTGTTTGCTTCTGGAGAATTGAGCATGTCTGAGGTGCAAATTTCTTTTTTCCAAACTGATACTGAAGGATTCCTATATTATTCTCTTGGAAAAGGTTGAAGGCAAAGACTTCAAACTGGAGTTTTGTTCTAAAGATAATGTTACATATTTTAGTGTTAGAATTCAAAGTGAATTGCTACAGGTAAGAACCAAGAGCTGACTGAGTAAATTTTGGGAGAGGGGGCGGAAAAAGGACCTGAAAGGCTTCCATGGCCTTTCACGGCAATAGTTGTTACCTCAAAATAATATGGAATTGCCATGGCCTTTGCTCCCCACAGGATTAAAACTGCTGGTAGTTGGGGCATGGGAGAAATCTCATTTTGTCAGAGGGGGGAAGGTGTCTTTCCTGTATTGTGTAGCTTGTTGCTAGTAATGTTTTGTGGACTGGGCTAATTGAAAATTGTCTGGTTTCCATATAGAATGTTTCTCAGTTAATGAAACTATTGGACTCTGGTTAATTGTAACTAGAAACTGAAGGTTTCTAGTTCATTGAAAATTAGTTTCTTAACTGAAACCATAATGTCCTTAATTTCCATTATTTTGGAAAAGAATGTAGAAAGATGAACTTGAAACTGTTTATATGACACCACTGGTTTCCCTGTTTCTTACAATGCTCTTAAAAGAATATGCTTAAGAACACCCACAGTTTGAAGCAAGTAAATGTAGCATCAAGGGGCATCTTAATTTGGCTTCTAAAGTGGGACTCCTCAGAACTGGATCATCCCAATGGACCCATGAAGCCGGCTAGTGTAAGCAGGTCCATGCTTGCTCAGGGATAGTCTTTTATACAGAGAATATCTCCACTTGGCTAGAGCGGTCAGCAGAATCTGACTTGAAGTTAACTGATTCCTCCTTGTTTCAAATGTCTAGTGAAGTATAAACCAAACCCGTGGTCACTCAGAGCGTGGTTCACAGAGACCTTTCTGATTAATGCCAAATCACCTGCAGATGCAGCTCAGATGATGAGGCCCTGCACAGGGGATAACTGCCCTTTGAAATGATGCTCGACTTGCTCACTGCTTAGTACAGCCAAGCTTTAAACGGTTTGTGGAGTCATTCTGTGCTCTTAAACCAGAGATGAGTCTCTCTCCAAGCCCTAGCCACGTACCTGGAAGGGTAGGAACTCCATCAGCTGATGGTCCTGCTGCTGTTGAGGGCTGTTGAGAGGCAGGGTGTATATCCAGGAAAGAGGTGCATAAACTTGGTGTTTGCTCCTGGAAGTCTGCAAGTGCTGTGTAAGCAGAGGCAGCCTTGCATTTTCACCTTTGTAAGTACCTGCACGCTGTACTCGAAAAATGACTGCAGCAGGTGCCTAAGGTGACCGCACAGTTCAGTTCTCTTCAGGAGCTGCCTTTGCTCCAAGTTCCAATCTGACCCAGATCTAGCTCTTGTTTGCTTATGCGCCTGCTTGGTTTGAGGGCATTAATAATCTCTGGACACTAAAACCAGCAGCTTTCCTGTCTGAATGAGGTATTTCTTTCTAAAAGGGGTGGAGAGAGGAGGTCCGCAGAACTTAAGAAAAAGTCCAGCTCAGGTTCTGTATTAGCTGTAGCTTTTAAATCATCTTGATTTAAAAAGTGCTTTATTTCTAGATTGTTTTTTTTCTACTTCTAGTTATTTTCTTGTCTGCTAACGAACAGCTCTGAATTTCTTGTTGCATGTGTGAACACTGCAATCAGATCTTAAACTTTTCTACATGTTTAAAAAAAGAAAGGAAATCCCTTGCAAAATGCTCAGAAAAGCTCAGTGTGTTTAGTTTATTTCTTCTGTACCCATGCGTGGTTAATCCTTGATCTGCACGTATGAAACTCCTGGGCTTATCCCATGTGTGGTGGTGCCAGTGTCGCTGGTACCAACCATGTTACTTTGTGCTTGCCTGGCAAAGAAGGGCTGCTTAAAACAGTAAATTTACTTAAAAAGTAAATAGAGCGTCCATAATATCCATACCTTGTGAGCTATTTCAGGTGTCTAGCACAAAATGAAACTCATATTTTCTCTGTTTTTGATTAATCTCTTAGTTCCTCATCTTGCCTGTTCAAAAGAAAGATGATTGCTGCTCGCTTTGGCCTGTAAACCGTGAATGGAAGGTAGCCTCTTCCTGAGCAAATGCAATCACTAAAGTGTCCCAGCTTCAAAACATAATTGACAGAACTAGTTAGAATTTTATAGTTCTTTGCAAGCATCTTTTCCTGAAAGTTTCCTGTCTACGTATCAGGAAAGAAAAGCTTTTAAGGTCATTCTGTGGAGCCGAAGTACTGGAAAACTGAGTACTTTACACAAAGGTGCCCATTTTGCTAGGTAACCTACTGATGTGTCTTCATCAGCCTCGGATCTGCACATAATTCCTTAACTAAGGATCTTCTTCTCTACAAGGCACCTCAGGCTAATGATAAAACATGGATGATGCATTTGAATGGAGCAGAATTTTGCTTCAAGAGGGGAGAGAGGGGGAAAAAAAAAAAAGACACGAGCTGGCCTACTAGGCCCTGCTGTTTGAACACAGTACAGGTTACACTTAGGAAAGGAAAATGCTATAAAAATCCCCAAGC